GATGGCCGAGCCTTCGCCGCTGGTCCCGTCCAGCACAGATCCCGAACCAGAGCTTCCGCCGCTGGTCCCGTCCAGCCCAACCGACCCTTCATCACTGGTTCCGTCCAGCCCAGCCAAGCCTGCACCACTGGTTCTGTTCAGCCCAGCCTTCACTGCTGGTTCTGTCCAGCCCAGCCAAGCCTGCACCACTGGTTCTGTCCAGCCCAGCCAAGCCTGCACCACTGGTTCTGTCCAGCCCAGCCAAGCCCGCACCACTGGTTCTGTCCAGCCCAGCCAAGCCCTCACCGCTGGTTCCGTCCAGCCCAGCCAAGCCTGCACAGCAGCTTCACGTCGCCTGCCCGCCAGCGCCCCACTGCAGCCCTGCCGAGCCTGAGCTTCCCTGCAGCCCTACCGAGCCTGAGCTTCCCTGCACGCCTGCCGAGCCTGAGCTTCCCTGCACGCCTGCCGGGCCTGAGCTTCCCTGCACGCCTGCCGGGCCTGAGCTTCCCTGCACGCCTGCCGGGCCTGAGCTTCCCTGCACGCCTGCCGGGCCTGAGCTTCCCTGCACGCCTGCCGGGCCTGAGCTTCCCTGCACGCCTGCCGGGCCTGAGCTTCCCTGCACGCCTGCCGGGCCTGAGCTTCCCTGCACGCCTGCCGGGCCTGAGCTTCCCTGCACGCCTGCCGGGCCTGAGCTTCCCTGCACGCCTGCCGGGCCTGAGCTTCCCTGCACGCCTGCCGGGCCTGAGCTTCCCTGCACGCCTGCCGGGCCTGAGCTTCCCTGCACGCCTGCCGGGCCTGAGCTTCCCTGCACGCCTGCCGGGCCTGAGCTTCCCTGCACGCCTGCCGGGCCTGAGCTTCCCTGCACGCCTGCCGGGCCTGAGCTTCCCTGCACGCCTGCCGGGCCTGAGCTTCCCTGCACGCCTGCCGGGCCTGAGCTTCCCTGCACGCCTGCCGGGCCTGAGCTTCCCTGCACGCCTGCCGGGCCTGAGCTTCCCTGCACGCCTGCCGGGCCTGAGCTTCCCTGCACGCCTGCCGGGCCTGAGCTTCCCTGCACGCCTGCCGGGCCTGAGCTTCCCTGCACGCCTGCCGGGCCTGAGCTTACCTGCACGCCTGCCGGGCCGGAGCTTCGCGTCACGCCGGCCGAGCCAGAGCCTTCTCCGCTGGTCCCGTCCAGCCCTTCAGAGCCTTCTCCGCTGGTCCCGTCCAGCCCTTCTGAGCCTTCACCGCTGGTCCCGTCCAGCCCTTCTGAGCCTTCACCACTGGTTCCATCCGGCATAGCCGAGCCTTCACCGCTAGCCCAGCCAGAGACTTTCCACGTCCCGTCTGCCCACCCAGAGACTGTCCACGTCCCAGAGCCTGTCCCAGAGCCTGTGATTCCCCCCCAAGAAAGTTTTGGGGGGGATATAGGCCACCTGAAGGTGCGTCTCCGCCATGGCCACCCCAAGGAGATTTTCCGCCATGGCCGCCCGAAGGTGCGTCTCCGCCATGGCCGCCCGAAGGGGATTCTTCGACATGGCCGCCCGAAGGGGATTCTCTGACATGGCCGCCCGAAGGGGATTCTCCGCCATGGCCGCCAGAGGGGTGGTCTCCTACTCCGCCATGGCCCCCTGACCAGCCTGCTCCGCCCTGGAGGCTTCTTGCTCAGGGTAGGCCACACCCTCGTCAGCCTCCAGGGCCCCCCCACCCCTATTGAAGTTATACGGCGCGAGGACGCGCCTTTTTGGAGGGGGCGTTATGTTACATGTGTGTCCTGTGTTTCCCCCTGCATTGTGTTTTGGTTCAGTCCTGTATCTCAGTTTTCCCGCTCCTCGTTTGTGTTCAGTTCCTTCACCTGTTTCTAGTTAATTTGCCCCAGCTGTGTCTTGTTCCCATGATCCGTTCTCTGTGTATGTAAACCCTGTGTTCTCCCTCACTCCTTGTCGGTTCTCGTTTGTGTATGGTACGTTTTTGGATAGTGTCTTTTGTTATTAAATCCTGTTTCCTGTATTCCTCGTCTCCTCGTGCTTCTTGGTACCACGCACCCGTAACAGCGCGTGCCGGGTCTCTCTCGAAATTAAACATTTCAGGGTAAAAACACATCATACAGCTGATAATACTGTATATGTCGCTGCGTGTCAGCCATACAAATCACGAAAAAATTATTTAGCCTTTAATTGTTGCTTCAAAGACACAGCATGCCTTGTTGAATTCACCTTACAATAACTTCAATTGAAATTTTGTGTGAAAAAAAACTTTAAATAGGCTACAATAAATAAATTACAATATTTATAATTTAATAAAATATGGGGCCTACATTTGGACACAGATTTATCCTTACAATAATTTTGCCTGCTCATCAGGCTGGCTATCCGACACTCTCCATATGAAAGTGGACCATTAACACCTTTGTCCAGCAACTGTCCCTCCAACCCCCCACAGGCTATCGGAGTCTGAGGCTGACTTAACACAAAGAGAAGTCGCAATTCACACTTGAATCGCTATTCTAGACAGTGTTGATAATGAAGGAATTAAATGATTTAAGTTACATGTATAGCCTAGTGATATTTCTGTCATAAAAGTTTATTACTAAATATTTCATTATTTCAATAATTGATGAAATAAAACTGGTTTGGGCCAGGTTTTTCCAAGAAAAACTAAATATAATCTGAAAAAACGCATGTTAATTTGTTGTCATGAACAAAATGTTCAACTCAATATTAAAGTCTACAGGGATCTTTGGATCCTTACAACCAGGCATGCAATTTGTGAATTAAGTTTTTATTTTATTTTGTATTATTCAAATAAATATCGAAACACGGTGCTTCGTGGCAATGCTGCTAAATTAAATAACATTTATAGAATTATTATGAACTTAAATTAAACAATATCGCAACATTTCGACAAATACATTATTTGATCTGTTTTTACATTTTAATTCAGGGCGATTTAGCCTACATTTAATTAGAGCGAGATTTTCACCCTTGTCTTGTCATTTTCTCATTGGGAAGCGCTTACATTACATGTTTGAGTAGATCCTCTGTACCTCTCGTTTTCATATGGATTAGCCTACATAATCAGATAACATTTATTAGCCTAAATATTTAGACATTTAAAGGCTTTAGACATAGCCGATTTCTTATCGTGACTGAGCTGAATTGGCTTTCGGTTCATTTTTGTGACGCGCAGTTCCCGGAGACAGATACGACAGATATACTGTTTTTGTCGTTAGCCTAATATGAATACAAGTTTACAGTTTTGAACGATGTAAGCTACTCTACTCTTATCTGTATGACCAAAAAATTATGGAGTCGCCTATTAAGTTATTTTAGCTGTAATAATGAGAAACATAAATTAATCTAAATGAACGCGCCGCCGTGTTTGTCGAACACTAACTCACCATGCCAGAATAAAACCCGACTTTAGAAAAATGCATAGGGCCACTCGGCGTGGTGTCCCAGAACACTTAATTATAAACTTCAATATTTCATTCAAAATAATCTCAACACGCTTTGTGAAATTTTGAAAAGCCGTGCATGCATTAAGGCCACTGGAACTAATGAACAACTGAAACGCTGGTTTTGATTTTATTGTTTGTCGTTTAAACGTGCCTGTTGCATATCTCTATTTTATATATTTGATATTGGTGAAGTAGCCTATAGGCTAGCATTGATTAGCTGTGGGGGGAGGGGTGTGGGGATTAAAATAATTCTGCAGAAGCAGGGATGTTTAGACCAGAAGGAAATCCCAATCCCCCCTGGCAAATCACACTTTACTTCAAACCATGTTTTTAAAAACTCTAGGTTGTAGGGAACAGACCTCTCTGCCATGCACGCGCACGCGGTTTGGAGCACAATATCTGTCTCGCATGCACGCTCGCTCTAGATAGATTACGGGATATTTTTACTAATTTGCGGTATAATAACTAGTCGATCACGAGTGGCTCAACAGGTAGATCTATAGATAAACTATATCTTTCAGGAATTTGACCGACGGGTTGACACATGTTTGTGCGGGATTTGAACCCGTGTCATCTTGATGATGAACCGTAAGTTCTACCGCTCGGCTCACTGAGAAATACCCAAACGTTTTTTTCTCACATGAGCGAGAAAACGTTTTGTCTTTAGCCTGTGAGTGTAGGCCTACTTTAGCCTTTTACAGTTTTAAAAGATTATATCTAATCTGTATGACCAACAATTTGTTGTAGGCTTATTTGGAAATTACCATAACTTGTAGTATTTCATCCTTAGGCTACAGACATTAGCCCCACTTACGTTTTGCTAAATGTCCCTTTGCGCCACCTGGCGGTCATTTCGCGTACGACTTTGAAATGCGACTGGTTTATTTTTACCGCGGTGGATGGCTAAAAATGGTATGTGGATGGCTAAAAGGTATGACTAAAAATAAAATTCATTTATATTTTGATTGTTTGTATATATATATATATATATATATATATATGTGTGTGTGTGTGTGTGTGTGTATATAAATATTTATTTATTTATATATATAGTCCTTGCATTCTTTCTTGTGTGTCACCCCTGAATGAAAGGCTCATTAGTATGCAGTCTGCTCAGGTGAGAACTGCCTAATTATTCATGAGGGGGTTGGGCCGTTCCGCCCATCCGCATATTGCCTTTGTTAAAGTGTGGTATTTCCATATAAAACACGAGTCCGTATTCTTTGAACTGGCCCAACGGGGTCTCTATTTATTTGTTCCAAGTTCCTCAAACACTGTCCCACACTAGACTCATTCCACTCTCACTCTCTGGCTCTCTCCCTAGGAGTGGCCTTGTTCGCCCCCTATCGGCTGGTATAGTCTGAACAAACATTATAACAATTAGATATTGTTACATCCTTTCTCTTTTAGAAAGTTTTTTGTTCTCCCTGAAACACATGCAAACATTACATGCACATAAGAATGTACTTTCAAATGTACGAACAGCATACATGCCATTAGCCAAACTACCAAACTGGCTTTAACATCTCAAAACACATTTTTTTCCTTTTTTTTTTTTTTTTTTTTAAATCCCCTAAATGACAGTTTAAGTAGTAAAGTCCTTGTAGCGTTGAGGCTGACGAACAACTCTACCACATCTAGTTGTCTTCGGCCCATCCCTGTCACAGGTATCGCTCTGAGTTTGAGGGCTCTGCTGGGATAGTACAGTGTCTATATGGGTTCCCGGAGTGTTTACTGTCTCTATATCAACAACCTCTGTTTGAGGAACCACATGGGCCCGTCTGAGGTGTCTACGGTTCCTCCTGAGAACTGCACCCGAATCCATTTCAACCTCATAGGATCTAGGGTCAACTGGTCTTTTCACCTTGCCCAGCTTCCATTTAGTGTGAGGCTCAAATGGCTGCACTCTGACTGTGTCACCTGGTCGTAGGGCATCTAGATCCCTGGCTGATCGGTTGTAGTACGCACATTGACGCTGTTGGTTGTTAAGCAGTGCCTGCTCCGCTTGAACCACTTTAGGCTGGAGAAGGCTGTTTTTCGCCGGTAACAGAGATCTCGTTCGACGGCTCAGCAGTCTTTGAGCTGGGCTGCTCTCCAGTCCTTGTGACGGTGTGTTACGATGGTCCAAGAGCGCGAGATATGGGTCTTGTCCCGAAGCTTTGGCTTTGTGTAACAGTCTCTTTGCAGTTTTAACAGCAGACTCTGCCTTGCCGTTACTCTGTGGGTAACCTGGCGATGAGGTTTTGTGGTCAAATTCCCACAGTTGGCTGAATCTTTGGAACTCTTGAGATGAATATTGCGGTCCGTTGTCTGAGACTACTGTGTTGGGAATGCCGTATCTAGCAAACTGTGCTTTTAGCTTTTTTATCACTGTCGTCGCTTTTCTGTCTGGCAAAAAATCAATTTCCCAAAAATTGGAATAGTAGTCGACTGTTACATGATAGTTTTTGTTATCAAAGTGAAAGAGGTCAACGTCTACTTTGGCCCATGGCCTGATTGGCACATTGTGTGGGTTGAGCGTTTCTCTGTGCTGTTTGTCATCCACTGACCTGCAGATGTCACAGCGAGCTATGTGTGTCTTTATGTGGTCGTTCATGCCAATCCAGTAGACACATTCTCTGGCCCTTCGGAGACATCCTTCTGCTCCGAGATGTGAGGAGTGCAGGCGGTGGGTGATGTCTTTCTGCAGTGATACTGGAATAACAGCACGTTCACCTCGAAACACAATGCCGTCCTGATAACTTAATTCCTCCTGGAATGAGAAGTAGGGTTTAATTTCCTGAGGCACGGCCCTTTTGTCCGATGGCCAACCCTGCTTCATCAGTCGGATCACAGTTTGTAGAGTTGTGTCATCCTTTGTAGCTGTCCTGATCTGGCTTAGACTGTCACCTGAAATGGGTAAGTGTTGCACCATATTAACCGTCTCTATTTCAGCTTCCACAGAGCTCAGAGATGGGCATTCTGGGAGATATGCTCTGCTTAAGGTGTCTGCAAGTAACATGTCTTTGCCAGGAACATACACTACAGTCAGGTCGTATTTCTGAATACGTAGCATCATTCTTTGTAGCCTCTTGGGCGCACTCAAAAGAGGTTTCCTCACTATGGATTCTAACGGCTTATGGTCAGATTGGACCGTAACTTTGCGACCATACGTGTACTGATGAAACTTCTCTACACTAAACACCATGGCTAGAAACTCTTTCTCTATCTGGGCATAACCCCGCTCCGTCTGTGTGAGTGCTCTGCTTGCATAGGCGATGGGCTTACCCTTTTGCATGAGTGCTGCTCCCAAACCTGTGTCCGATGCATCACATTGCACTACAAGGTCCTCCTCTGGGCAGTAGTACTTCAGTATAGGAGCATCGGCAATAGACTTTTTTAGTTGCACAAAAGCATTCTCATGCTGCTCCGACCAGTCCCAGTCTGTGTCTTTGTGTGTCAACTGCCGCAACACGGCACACTGGTCTGAAAGGTGTGGGCAAAACTTAGCCAAGTAGTTTATCATACCTAACAGTCTCTGTACTGCTTTCAAATCTGTAGGTCTCGGCATGTGTTCAATAGCACGAACCTTGTCTGGATCTACTTTCAGTCCGTTTGCTGTTAAGCGGTGCCCAATGTATGTACACTCCCTCTTCCTTAGCTTGAATTTGTCTGGGTTCAGTTTAATGTTCTTTTGCCTGCACCGCTCCAGGAACAGTTTCAGCTTCACATGATGGTCTCCTTCTGCCGCTTCCTGCGTCTCTCCCTGACCTGTAATGAGCACATCATCCGCAATAATGTATAGGCCCGGTAACCCGTCCAGTGCTTGGGTCAGTTTTCGCTGGAAAACTTCCGGTGCCGGACTTATTCCCATGGGCATCCTTAGCCATCTGAAACGGCCAAATGGGGTGGAAAACATAGTCAGATAACTGGATTTCTCTTTAAGCTTGACATGCCAAAACCCGCTTTTGACGTCACATACCGTGAACACTTTAGCTTTAGACATATCTGGAAGTACATCCTCAATGTTTTGTAGTGGGAAGTGGCTGCGCTTGAGTGCCTTGTTGAGGGGCTTTGGATCAATGCATACTCTAGGTTTACCGTTTTGCTTTTGTACCACCACCATGCTACTGATCCAGTCCGTGCTACAGTCTACTGGTGTGATAATACCTCTGTGCTCAAGATCCTGAAGCTCCTCTTTCAGCGGTTTCATCATGGCGACCGGAACACGTCGCTTTGGGAGTTGCACAGGTTTCACACTCTCATCTACTTCCATTTTGTATTCTCCTTCCAGACAGCCGTCTCCTGTGAACACATCTGCAAAATCTGTCTGTATTTGTTTCCATGTCCATTGTCTTTTTGGGTCTATCCCTGTTGTCACAATACTGTCACTAGCCATAATGTTTTCATAGCGTACTTTTATGAGTTTCATAGCCTCACTGGCTCTCTTACCAATCAGTGGTACAGTACAACCTTTGTCCACAACCTGGAACTCTAGCTGCTACAGTTTTTTGTTTCTGGGGTTTCTTAATTTCACTTTGCATCGACCCAGTGGTTTCACTTTGCTTCCATTGTACATCACCAACACAGAATTTGTATCCTCCAGCTTAGCATCTGTGTTCAGCATGTTAATAGGGAAAACATTACATGTGGCTCCACAATCGATCTGAAATTTTATAATATCTTTTCCTAGGAGCATGCCTGCAAACAACTGGGAGTCATTACTTTTGTTAGAGTCAACAGCATTCACATTTTCACTTTCTGCTACATCGCTAACACACAGTATGTCCTCATATTCACTTTCACATTCAGTAACCTTATGCACCGATTTCATCTTCTTTGGTTCAATGCGGGCTTTACACTTAACCGCAAAGTGGTTTTCCTTACCACACTTTGTGCATTTCTTTCCAAATGCTGGACATTTCTGTTTGCTCCTCTCATGTGTCTTGCCGCAAAACTTGCAATCCACGGTGCTTTCTTTCTGTTGTAGTCGCGAAGCTCCTTGCACTATGTGAACTTCCTCCACTGTGTGTCCCGCTATGGCCTTGCAGTTTTCCCGCGACCACTCTGCAGCTCTGCAAAGTTGAATGCACGTGTCCAATGTCATGTCTTTCTCCCGTAATAGTCTCTCTCGCATGTTGCTGCTGTTAATCCCACACAAAATCCTGTCACGGATGAGGGAGTCTCGTAATGTCCCGAAATTGCATGTTTTTGCTAACAACTTGAGTTCAGTTACATAGCCATCTATGGATTCACTGGTACCTTGATTTCTTGTGAAGAATTTGTACCGCTCCACGGTCTCGTTCACTTTAGGACTGCAGTAGTTATCAAACTTTTCAATGACGTCCTTAATCGTCCAGTCCGACTTTGCTGTGTCTCCCATTAACGTATCCAGTAGCTCCCTGCCACTCTCACCGACCAGATAACTGAAAAGCCTAACCTTTTTTTTCTCGTCGTCCTCGGTAACAGTTAATCCAATGTACAGTTCAAACTCGTCTCTCCAAGACTTCCACGTTTTAGACAGGTTGCTGGAGTCCAGACACAACGTCTGTGGGGGTCTAAGTCCGTCCATGCCGATAGCGTTAGCTTGTTTACTTCGATGCTAATCCACGCTACACGTTAACGTTAGCACTTTACCGTCTTCGGAATTCGCCCGCGCCTCCTCCGCAAACCACTAAGAACTTGGGCAAAAATCCACTGCCGCTGCCACCATGTTAAAGTGTGGTATTTCCATATAAAACACGAGTCCGTATTCTTTGAACTGGCCCAACGGGGTCTCTATTTATTTGTTCCAAGTTCCTCAAACACTGTCCCACACTAGACTCATTCCACTCTCACTCTCTGGCTCTCTCCCTAGGAGTGGCCTTGTTCGCCCCCTATCGGCTGGTATAGTCTGAACAAACATTATAACAATTAGATATTGTTACAGCCTTTGCAAACAAAAAAATGTTTTTCACAATTTAAAACAATCTATTGTTTTATGTGAATGATTAGGCAGAATGATTTTCAGATCAATTTGAAGCAAAAACTCTAGGCGACAACATCCATTAGTCAAAAGTCTTGTGGACAGATATTTAGTATGTTATTTGTGGCCTTATATTAGAAACTTTATTTTTTAGTTTTTTCAATAACCACGCATAAACAATATTCTCTCAAAGTACATACAATGTACATACATGTTGCTCACATATTATGGTAGCCCTGTGTGTGCTATATAGAGTGTAATTTCACCTGTGCCATTAATATGTTTATAAGCAACTGAAAAAAGCACAAATGTCAGAGCATGCAAAAACATCTCAAGGACCCCGAAAACACCTCAGACCCCAGAGGGTTAAAGAAACCACCAAAATTAGCTAAAACGGCTAAAGCTAGCTAAGTAAACTAGTAGAGAATGAATGCTGCTGCTACAGGGATACGTTTGAGATGAGGAATCATCAGAAATATACTTGTTTGAAGACTGGCGTGGTCCTTTCAGTTAATTACCATTACAATATCCATATTACCATTCTTTTCCCGAAACGCTGGGGCAGACCTACCGGTATTCACTAAAGTCACTGTCACTTACCACAGACAATGATGAGTAGCTTCGACAAGCGTTGGCAAGCGTTGGTTGGTTGTTCTAAACTCATTAAAACTACTAAGGTCATGTGTGTGTGTGTGTGTGTGTGTGTGTGTGTAAGTGTACCATGATGCTAAATATCCAGCATGTTTTTAAGAATTTTGAGAGTAGTCTAAAATTCTGTTGAAGTTCTGAGCCTGTTGATCGCCAACTAGTAGTGAAATCATCCCAGATCCATTGATTTTGGTTGGATTTTTTTTTTTTTTTTTTTTTTTTTTGGAATGAGTATAGAGTTTGGTGAAAAGAATGGCATATTGACTGATGTCATAACTTAGGGGAATAGTTGATTGCCAATAAAGTAAAGATGAAAATATTGGAAAAAAGTGAGAAAACGCCTAATTTTTTTTTTTTTTTTTGCATAAAATTGATGCAAAATCATGTAGAAATGTGTTTTAAGAGTTTTTTTTTTTCAGTGGATGTTGTCAGCACATGTGTTCTGAGTATCTGGAATGCATTTATTGACAGCCTACCCAACCCACTAAGGATTTGATGAAAAAAATATTTTTTCACATTTTTCTGATAAAAAATAAAGGGTGCATACACTAAAATGGCCAACAAAAAAAATTCACGATATTTCCGGCAGAGCAGACCCTCCAATTATTGGTTCTTAGGGTCAAAGTTAACAGAAAAAACACAAATTAAAAGTATAGCAGACCATGTCAGGTTCAACCCATTTTTGAGACTTTGGCTCCCCGACTAGCAACATGGAAATCGCCGCATTCGGCTGTTATAGGCATGAGGACTTCATGTTACGCTCACTGGCGAACCTTTACAAAGCTGTTAAAATGATGACCTCCACAGAATCTGTACTTTAAACTTCTGTGTTTATCTTTAATTTGGCAACTGAGAACCTTTAATAAAACCAAAAGTGTGAGAAACAAGTTTAAAATGTGACACTGGTGTAAATCCTGCTGAACATGAAGCAGTGTTATTTTTTTTTATTTTTTTTTATGTTTCTTCTTTTGTATATAAAACTGTCCAGAAACGGCCTGTATGAACCAACTCACAAAATGTTTTTGTACTTTTTTAGTCTGGGAGCAAAATGTATTATGTGACTTCTTTTCAAGTTTGTGGAGATTTTGATGTAATATACCCTTTGTAACTCTGTGAGCCTTTGTTGATTTGATACAGCAGCTCATATTTACATGTATGAAAAGTCCCTTTCATGGCGCCTTAACTGCTGTGAATATTGTATACTGTACTGTATTTCTTATCACTTTTTCAGTAAAGATCTCATCTGTCAAAAAAATTGTGACAAACGGGGAGAATGTGTGTTCCAAGTAAACAATAAAAGCAATATCCAGTACCTTGTTTGAATGCCGTGACCCATTTATTTCCAGTGTATCTATGCTCACTTTAGTACAGATCAGTCCATAGATGTCTCAAAACATGATCAAAACATTTGCAGATTGACCCATTCACTATCATCCAAACTGTAACCAAGAATACATTCACATAAAAGTCCCCCAAAAAATAACAATCTCAAATACGTACATTAAGTTATTGGGTTATGGTAAGTTCTAGAAACTACGGTTAAATTTTTCCAACCCCTATAAGCATGATCAGCTCTTTCCAGGGACAGTGTGTGTGGCTCTTAAAAGAGCCTTTGTGTGAGCGGCTCCGGCCTCTACTTGGAGCTGGTGTACTTGGTGACGGCCTTGGTGCCCTCAGACACGGCGTGTTTGGCCAGCTCTCCGGGCAGCAGCAGACGCACGGCGGTCTGGATCTCTCTCGACGTGATGGTGGAGCGCTTGTTGTAGTGAGCGAGACGAGACGCCTCACCGGCGATGCGCTCGAAGATGTCGTTGACGAAAGAGTTCATAATGCCCATCGCCTTGGAGGAGATGCCGGTGTCAGGGTGAACCTGCTTCAGCACTTTGTAGACGTAGATGGCGTAGCTCTCCTTCCTGGACTTTCGGCGCTTCTTGCCTCCCTTCGCGGCGCTCTTGGTGACGGCCTTCTTGGAGCCCTTCTTAGGCGCGGGCTTGGCTGGTTCAGGCATGATGAGATGATCGCAGAGCTGACGAGTCAGTGTGAACTCAGCAGCGACACTGAGGCTTTTATTCACTGCACTATGCTAATTTACGAGGAGATGCTGGGTCTGCTGATTGCCTGTTTTCATTGGCCGAACCCATAAACTCGTGTTTCATTGGAGAACTCAAAGCATCACGAGCGGAACGAGGGCCAATCACAGGCGGTTAAATGATAGCCCCGCCCACCATCCTGTGTTTGAACGACATGGTTTCCTTTGTTTCATTTCCCGCTTTTTATTTTTAGATTTTAGTAATATTCTGATAAATTAAGCGGCTCTAGACACATATTCTGCACCATCGTGTAATGTTAAAACTCCATATAAACACATTTGAAGGAGTTTTGCAGAAAAGAGACCAATAACGGTCGGACTCCCTTTAAAAATCCCTGACAGCATTCAAAAGACAACTGAAAACTCATCTCTTCCGTGAGCACTTAACGTAAAAAATATATATATATTGTTTTCCTTTTCTTTAAATCCTTGCTTATCTGGCTTATGCTACTCCGAGCAATGTCTTAACTTTGTATTTTTAGCACTTCTTGCGTTATTTTTGTCTATTCACGATGACTCGCTTGGTTTAGTCCTCAGTTGTAAGTCGCTTTGGATAAAAGCGTCCGCTAAATGACTAAATGTAAAAACAGCTTTTCCTCAGAACATTGATTCATGAAACCGTTTAAATGTTTAAACTACAGGAGTAGCACATAGAAGCCCATTTGAATAATAACTAAATTAACATGTTTTTGTTTTCTGCACTTTAGTTTAATTTTTGATCCAATTATCTTTTTTGTTCATTTTGTATTTTAGGTATTTTAAGTTGGGTAGAAAGGTTAAACAATATTTTATTAATCTCCATAAATTACTGTAAAGTTAAATTTAGAATGTAATTAAGTCCAAAGACTATTACAAGCCTATTATAATTAATTTGATGATTGACACAGCTAAATCATGACTCTTTCAGTGCGGGAGTGTGTGGCTCTTAAAAGAGCCGTTGGGTCCGTCAGTTTCTCCGGGTTTCAGGCGTTTATCCCCCGAAGCCGTACAAGGTGCGTCCCTGTCGCTTCAGCGCGTACACAACATCCATGGCGGTGACGGTCTTTCTCTTGGCGTGCTCGGTGTAGGTGACGGCATCGCGGATCACGTTCTCCAGAAACACCTTCAACACACCGCGGGTCTCCTCGTAGATCAGCCCGGAGATGCGCTTGACGCCGCCGCGGCGAGCCAGACGCCGAATGGCGGGTTTGGTGATTCCCTGGATGTTATCGCGTAGAACTTTACGGTGACGCTTCGCGCCTCCTTTTCCGAGCCCTTTCCCGCCTTTGCCTCTTCCAGACATGTTTACAAGATCGTAGAACTGGTCAAACGATGACGAAGAATGAATAACGAGTCTTGAAGTGAGGCCTTTTACATCTGCTTACAGGACCTGACAGAAACCAGCACCGTCACATGCGCGCGCCCCTCCCCCAAAATATAGAGCGCGAAACATTTAACCGCCACCCCGGTCTGCAGGAGTCTTTCCCTTGTTTTATATTAAATATTTAAGTAATAATTTATCAGATCATGTTATTTACAGTGGTACAGGTTAATATTGAACAGCGCTGTTCTACAAGCTCAGCAAAGTAAACAGAGAGAGACACAAGTCATCAAATCACAATATTGAATATTGTAAAATTGTGAATAGCGACATCTGTGATATTATATTTATATATATTTACGTGAATCCTACATTATCATAGTCCCGTTCAGATTCACTCTCACATGTTCACGCATATATTGGTTTTGTTAGTGATAATATGAGCTTATAATGAAAACATTTATAACGTGCTTTTTCTGCTTAATGAAAATATGTGCACTGGAATCATTTAGTTGTGTTAATCACTGGCTGTCTGATACACATGCCATTAAACTGAAACTCTGATCAAATCAAACAGAAGTGGCCAATTGTATGTTTTAGGAAACGGTAAAATCGCATGCCTTTCCCCCTCATAGTTGCCCAGACCAATCTTTAACTGATAACACACTCCATTTGATCTTGTTGCTTTATATTCAGCGTTAAAGTGGAAATCGTCTCGTTTATAGTAAGTGGTGTGGCTCTTAAAAGAGCCGTTGGGGTGTGATGCGCGTGCACAGGGGGTTTCAAGCGCGCTCTCCGCGGATGCGGCGCGCCAGCTGGATGTCCTTGGGCATGATGGTGACTCTCTTGGCGTGGATGGCGCACAGGTTGGTGTCCTCGAACAGACCCACCAGATAAGCCTCGCTGGCCTCCTGCAGGGCCATGACAGCGGAGCTCTGGAAGCGCAGGTCCGTCTTGAAGTCCTGGGCGATTTCTCTCACCAGCCGCTGGAAAGGCAGTTTGCGGATCAGCAGCTCGGTGGACTTCTGATAGCGGCGGATCTCCCGCAGAGCCACGGTCCCGGGCCGGTACCGATGGGGCTTCTTGACGCCGCCGGTGGCGGGCGCGCTCTTCCGCGCTGCTTTAGTCGCGAGCTGCTTCCTCGGGGCTTTGCCACCGGTGGATTTACGAGCGGTCTGCTTGGTTCTTGCCATCGCTGCAGTTTCTCCTCTCTCGGTCCTGCTTGTGCTGGAAATGCTGTTTCTGTTACACGCCTCCTGCTTTTATAGCATTGGACCGTCACGATGATGCAGAGGCTTGTGATTGGCTAGTGTGTGACGTGTGCTTATGACTGATAGCCAATGACTGCACGTTTCCTCTTTTCAAACAAGCGGAGGGTTTCCCGCTCAAGACGCTTTGTTCTGTTTACTACTTTGTTCAACCCTAAACTATATAGGCTTTATTCTCAAATCTCACATTTCTGTATTTATTTGTTCTGAAATACTCGTCTTGTTTCCCAGTGGTTGTGCAGATCTCGGATCAGACACGCTTGTTGCCCTCCGGATAGTTGAGTAGAGCAGCTAAAGGGCAAAAGACCCACAGTAACATTGATTAGTTTCTGTTACACTAGAAATCCTCTAAAGCTGATGTGTATTTAGCTTTATATTTTGGATAGTCAATTATAATATTCAATACATTATCAGAGCTTGGTAGACATATAACTATTTTATCCCTCTATGGTATGGTGTCGCCTCAAGTGTATTTTAGTTTATTTTTATTAAAATGAGACACCCATTTATTGGCCAAACCTCTAGCGGAGAAGAACTCAAACACTAATTAACGAAAGTTTTGTCTTTTGTGTCTTGTTTCAGCACATGTGCACAGGTCACACGCCTCCATATTGTCAATATTTTCACTCATTTGCATCCAGTTAATAACCCACAGAAATATGAGTCACCTTCACTGGTTAGTAAAGAAGTATTTTCAAGAGCTTAACATTATATATCATCAAATGTTTTAGAGGAAATCACAAAAAACTGTGCGTTACCTCAAGGCAACATTATATCATAAGGCCATACTGTATGGAGGACCAACTCTACCATATTTAAAAATAAATACAGAAATAAATAAATGCTCAATAAATAAATAAGCAAACAATTAATTGCCCCAAAAAATACAATAAACAAATAAATGTAGGTAGAAATTAAATTATACAGTGAGACATAAATGTATATATCTCTTTTAATTAGCTTCTTTATTTATTCACCTTTGTAATAATTACCTTATTTATTTATTGTCCGTTATAATCTTCAACTTTATTTATTAATTACTTATTTTTTGAAGTTTTTATTTATGTGCATGTTATAATATTTTTTGTCTGTTTTATTCTTCCTTTGTATTTTTTTACCCTATTTATTTCTTCAATGCTATTTATTTCTGCCTGTCGTTTTTACATTTCTGTGATGTAAATGTAATTATTGATATCAAAAATGAACATTCTTACTAGTAGCAATTCAATTGTTGATATCAAGAATAGACATTTCAACTAGTAACAATTTAATTATTGATATCAGGAATTCGCATTTTTACTAGTAACAATTGCATTCTTGATATCAACAATTGATTTTGAATGGCAGCCTATGGTGAAAATACAATTACAGATATCAAGAATTCAATTGTTGATATCAACAATTACATTTTTGATATCAAGAATTCAATTGTTTATATCAAGATTTCAATTGTTGATATCAAGAATGCAATTGTTGATATCAAGAATACATATCCTGGAAATGAATAAAAGTTAAAACGGCTTGCCATAATAGTGTGTGTGCAGTCTGGCACAAAACACTCAGGCATGACGGCGTAACGTTACGATTATAACGTAAGACTATAGAACAAATGACAGACGTTAGCTTCAGTAAAGTTAGCTTCATTCATTGAGAGAAAATGTGCGACGTTTGGGTTTGTAGTCTTTTTAATTACGTATTTTCACAGTCTTATACCTCAACAGTTTTACATCAAACTGCGACTTTCTTGACTTTAAAATGTATCTTTTAAATTGACAATCAGGGATGAGTTCCCTAATGAATATTAATGAGTCTTCCCCTACCACCCTGCAAAAAAAAAAATATCGCGGCCGGTGGCATGTAGATTCGACCGATACAGTAAAATGCTAACCAACCAATGGGCAGAAGTTGACCCCTTAAGACACAGCCCCTCCTCATTTGCATAATGAGGCAGAAATGCATACAGAAATGTAAAAACGACAGGCAGAAATAAATAGCATTGAAGAAATAAATAGGGTAAAAAAATACAAAGGAAGAATAAAACAGACAAAAATATTATAACATGCACATAAATAAATACTTAAAAAAATAAGTAATTAATAAATAAAGTTGAAGATTATAACGGACAATAAATAAATAAGGTAATTATTACAAAGGTGAATAAATAAAGAAGCTAATTAAAAGAGGTATATACATTTATGTCTCACTGTATAATTTAATTTCTACCTACATTTATTTGTTTATTGTATTTTTTGGGGCAATTAATTGTATGCTTATTTATTTATTGAGCATTTATTTATTTCTGTATTTATTTTTAAATATGGTAGAGTTGGTCCTCCATAATACTGGGGTGGAAAATAAATATATTATATTTGTAAGGAAAAGAGTTAGAATTCTTTAAGTATATTTGCATTTTGTAAAGCACTAAT